ATATTGCAAGGAGGGGCCAGTCCTTGGAGAGAGACATCATGCTTGGAAAGGTAGAGGAACAGCACAGAGAGGAAGACACTGTATGAGATGGATTGACTCAGTGATTGTGGTAATGGGAGTAGTTGTGTCAGAGTCAGTAAGGTTGGCTCAAGACAGGGTAGGGTTCAGAGCTGTTTTACATAGATGGGGTCTCTATGAGTCACAAGCAACTTGACAGTGCATAACAACAACCTAATAATCAAACTCCAAGATACAAAATCAAACTTTAACAGACATGCAGAGATTAATAAACCATTCCACAATAACAGTGTTGTTGTTAAGTGCTGATGAGTGGAGCATGACTCATGGTGATCCTATGAACAAAAGATCTGAACCCTGTTCTGTCCTGTGCCATCCTCACACTTCCCGACACACAAGAGCCCATTGCAGCAGTTGCCATTTCAATCCACCTGGTTGAGAGTCTTCCTCTCCTTCACCAACCTTCCACCCTTCCCAATATTATATCCCTCTCCAAGGAACAGTACCTCTTAGCAACTGGTCTGAAGTATGTGAAGCAAAGTCTCATAATTCTTGCCTCCAAAGAGCACTCCAGCTGCACCCAATTCAAGACATATCTGTTCATTCTCTTGGCCATACATGGGATGTTCAGTGTGCTTCTCCAACACTACAGCTCAAAGGCATTAATTCTTCTTCTGTCATCCTTATTTATTGTCCATGTCTCGGATGCACAGCTAGTAATCAGAAATACTATGGCCTGAATCAGATGCACCTTAGTCCCCAACCCACATCAGTACTTCTTAATAATTTGGAAAGGTCCCTAACTGCAGATTTTCCCAGTGAAATGCATCTCATTATTTCCTGACTTCTCGTACCAAGGGTGTTAATTGTGGATCCAAGGAAGATGAAGATATTGACAGTTTCAATCTCCTCTCCATTCATCATGGCACTGCCTATTGGTCCAGTGTTAAGAATCTTTGTTTTCTTGATATTGAGATACAATCCACACTGAAGGCTGCATTCCTTGATCTTCTGCAACAAATGCTTCAAGTATTCCTCAATTTCAGCAAGCAAGATAGTGTCACTCTATAACGCAGATTACTAATGAGTTTCACTCCAATCCTGATGCCACATTCCTCTTCATAGAAGCCAACTTACAATAACAGGACACTTTAACACATCACTTTCAATGAAGGACTGAATGACTAAAAAAAACTCAACAAAGACATCAACAAACTGAATAATACAAATAACTAATTTGATCTCATATGTATGTAGAACACTCTACCCGTCAAGATCACAATATACATTCTTCTCCAGTGTGCATAAAATGTTCTTGAGAACAGATTATGTTAAGTCACAAAGCAAATCTCAGTAAGTTAAAAAACATCAAAATCCTACAAATCATAAACTCAGATCATAAAGTTGCAAAATTAGAAATAAGAAGCAAAAGACTTAGAGGGAAAAAGTAAGTCAAGGAAATTGTATGGATCATAATAAACTATGGATAACACTGAGAAGGCAAATCAGAGAAGAATTAATTATACTCATACAGAATGTGTACACAGCAAGAAGCAGCTGTTCCAACAGAACAAGGGGATGGGGCATGGTTTAAAATCATGTGGTATATAAACACAATCAAGTGTTCTGGGATTCCCATTTCCCTCAAGGTTAGACATAATTTGTTATGATCCACACAGTCAAATGCCTTTACATAGTCAATGAAACACAGATAGACATTTCTTTGGTACTCTTTGCTTTACACCAAGATCCATCTGACATTGGCGATAATGTCTCTAGTGCCACAAACTCTTCTAAACCTAGTTTGTATTTCCAGTATTTTTCTGTTTATGTACTGTTCCAGTCATTTTTGGATCATCTTCCGCAGAGATTTGCTTGCATATGATATTAGTGATATTATTCAATAATTTCCACATTGTTTTGGTCAGCTTTTTTTTTGAATGAGAATAAATATGGATCTCTTCCAGTCCATTTGGCCAGGTAGTTGTACTTCAGATTTCTTGGCACAATCTGGTGAGCATATCCAGGGCTGCATCTGTTTGTCATTTAGTCAATTGTGCCTGATCCAGGACATGATAGCAATTGCATGAGAGAGGTGAAAAATGACTAAGGATGATAGAATAAAAATCAGTATCTTTGAGTTGTGGTGCTGGAGCAGAGTCTTGAACATACCATGAACCACCAAGAAGACAAGTTTCTCCTTGGAGGCGAGGAATTTTTAAGCTCCATCTCACATACTTAGACACATGGCCTGTGTTGACCAGTCCTTAGAAAATTACATCATGCTTGTAAGAGTGAAGGAACAGTGCAGGAGAGGAAGACCCCAGATGAAATTGATTGATACAGTAACTAGGGTAATGGGGATTGGTGTGTCAGAGTCAGTGAGACTGGCTCAGGACAGGACAGGCTTCAGAGCTGACCATAGGGTCACTATGGATTCACAGGCCACTCAATGGACCATAAAACAACAACAAAATCAGAAGAGGCATGAATCATGTATCCTTTCTCCAAACCTCTTCAATCTGTATGCTGAGCAAATAATATGGGAATCTGGACCATATGAAGAAGAATATGACAACATGATTGAAAAAAGATAGGTCAACAACTTGCAATAAGCAAATTGCACAAGAAGACTTAAAGCACTTAATGAAGACCAAAGTCTACAATCTTCAACATTGATTATGCCTTAATACAAAGAAAACAAATATACTCACAAATGGGCTATAGATGACAACATTCTACTATTGAGTAATCCCAATGTTTCCTTCCCATTGAGTGTATATTCTTTCTAGTTTAACAAGTAATGAAGGTAAACCTGTTGGCTTGGACTAGAGGGCAGGGACTAGTAGAGTAATGCAGACATTTTGGTAAAAGGACTCTTTTTTTCTTCTTTAGGGAGTTCTGATGTCATACTCTGTACTGGTTGCTGACACAAAGACCAGATGCCTCTCTGGCAATTTTAATCTGTTAGCCTAACTGCTCCTTGAGAGAAAGATGTGCAATTTACCTCTGTGTAATTTACAGCTTCAGAAACCCACTGGAGGGTCAGCCATGAGTCAGTCTGACTCAACAACAATGAATTTAACTTTCCTTCATTGGCATAAAGTCTTCATATCAAGAATTTCTTTCTCCCAAGATCTATACATGAATATTTGATAAAAGACATTGTTAGGAAAAACTCAATAGAATGTTATTCCAAATTAGGGTCCTTTATGAAATTAAAAGTTAGTGTCACTACTGCCCAAAAATGTCATAACATTCTTTTTTCCTAGAGCACCCTTCAGTTTCTTGTTTATCAGACTGTAGATGAAAGATTTCTGCATGGGAGTCAGCACCGTGGCACACAACAGCTGCACTATCTTTCTTAGCTAAGTGGGAAGGTGAAGAATTGAAATTCACAATGATGGTGCCATAGAAGAGAAAACCTCAGTCACATGGGAAATGCAGGTAAAGAAGGCTTTCCATCTTCCTTTTGAGGGTGGAGTGTTCAGGACAACAGAGCTGGTGCAAATGTGAGAAATTAGAATACCACAGATGGCATGAGTATTGATACCACCTCCTCAATAACAATAATCTTCTCAAAAAGATGTATGCCAGAGCAGGAGTGGAGCCACATCACAGAAGCATGTGGGACCGATCATGTAGCCTGCACAGAAAGAAGGTCAAGTCATCAGGAGGATGTGCACCAAAACATTCAGATTGCAGAAACAACAATATTTTTGGCAAAGGATATTTCTATGTACATATTTGTGTGCATGCAAATATATCCACCTATGTAGAAGATGATGTTGTTTTTATCATGTGCCACTAAGTCAACTACAACTCAAAGCAACCCTATAAACAGCAGATTGGAACTTTGCCCTTTTCTGCACCATCCTTATGATTGCCACCATGCATGAGCCACGGAAATATTCTTCTGCATAACCAAACAACTTAACCAAAAACAACCAAACAATTTAACCAAACAACCAAACCAAAAAACTTAAGCTGAGTCACTGGGTATGACAGCTTAGGGAGTTATCTGGGTAAAAAGACACCAAAGTCCATAAACACAATTTCAATATTTTACTTTGGTGACTAACATATATAATCTTAAAAGCTTGCAAGCAACTATCAATGACATAATCACAGGTCTCTGCTTGCCAGGAGCAAAATTATAAGGTAACCAAAAGAGTAGAGAAGCAACAACTTCACCCATGCCACAGTCTCATTTGCCCTAAGATAGCAAAACTACCTGGTGACCAGTACAATTTCTGACCTGAGACATAATTAATGGTTCTGGATAGACTTGGATATTTACATAAAGCAGAACTCAGATTTTTCTTTCTAAACAAGCAAAAAACAATCCAGACAAACTAGAACTGTAAAGAAGAAACAATTGCTTGAGAATTTTGAGATACTCTTTAAGCCTAGAACAATACTAGATGGCACCACCCTTTGGTGAATACCAGAGTGACACATAAAATAAGGATATTACCCAAAAAGGCAGTGCCTTATATAAAAATCATCAGTATGAGATCAAAGATCAATCAACTATCTAAAAACAAAGATTTAAAAATAAGGATGTACCATGAAAGCATGATGGGAACAAACTGAACGTAACTAAAGAAAATGTTGTGATAAACATAATGTCACAGAATAATTTGTGTGGAAATTGTCAAAATGAAAATTTAACTTGCTATGTAAACTTTCATCAAAAATGCAATGTTACATTTAAAAGACATGAAAAAGAATATCATCAAAAAAATTTAAAAAAGAATAGTGTTTCATTCTCACTAGTTTAATACAAAGATAGACTCTTGGGAAAAATCAGTAGCAACAACAACAAATTTGTTGGGATTCACACAATAAGAAAATAGAAAGGATATTATTAGATACTAGCTTCAATCTGTTGTACATAGGGCCTTTATGAATTGGTGCCAACTCCATAACATTTAACAATATAGCACAATAGTTTCCTCCTATAAAATTCAGAAGTCATATCAGTATCTATCAGAAAAGCCTTCTATGACAATCATTTTTCTTAGAGCCCCTTTCATGTCCTTGTTCCTGAGACTGTAAATGAAAGGATTTAGCATGGGGGTCACCACTGTATACATCACAGTAGATACAGTGTCTGTCTCAGCTGAATGGGAGGACGCGGGATTGAAATACAGAGTATTGGTGCCATAAAAAAGTAAAACTACTGTCAGGTGGGAGCCACAGGTGAAGAAGACTTTCCATTTTCCCTTTGTGGATGGAATTCCCAGAACAGCCAAGATGATATGGATATATGAAGCCAGAATACAAACAAAGGGAGTGATCATTATTAGGGTTCCTTCTGTAAGAATTATCATGTCATTAAGATATGTGTCAGAGCATGAGAGTTTCAACAGACTCACGTCACAAAAAAAGTGGGGGATTGTGTTCTGTGCACAGAAAGAAAGACGAGCTATCAACAGAATGTCCAATAGAGAATTCAGATTGGCTATTACCCATGATCCAGCAATCAGCAAGGCACAGAGCTGATGGGTCATCATTGTTGTATAGTGTAAGGGATGGCACACAGCAACATAGGGATCATAGGCCATCACCGCCAGAAGGAAATTGTCCATGTAGGCAAACACAATGACAAAATACATCTGCATGAAACACCCAGAGAAAGAGATGGTCTGACTCTCAAGTATGTGGTTGGCCAGCGTCTTGGGGATAGTGGTGGAAGAAAAGCAAATATCCACAAAGGACAGGTTGCTGAGGAAGAAGTACATGGGAGTGTGCAGCCAAGAGTCTGTGCTGATGGCCAGGATGATGAGCAGGTTTCCCAGGACTGTGGCCAGGTACATGCTCAGGAAGAGCACAAAGAGGAGCTGCCGCTGCTGTGGCTGTGTCGAGAGTCCCAGGAGGATGAACTTGGAGACACTCGACTGATTTGCCCCACTCATGAGTTTGGGTTAGATGCAGAGAAGAAAAATAGAAGCAGAAATCTACAAACTGAGAGTTCAAATGGGAGCTCTAGCCATGATCTTGTTTAATTTATCAGAATTATCCAGTTAATATCTGTCTCAGTTCCTACGTCTCCATCTTCTGCTTCTTCATCTTACGTGATGCTAGTTGCCTTTTACTCACTTCAAAAATTTTATAAAACAAAATAAAACTTATAAAACATAGCATAAACATACACATACACAAGCAAAATAATGCACACACACCAGGACACATATTTAGCCTATCTCTGTAACTATGTATGTATGTTTTAACATTTCTCAAAAGAAATAATTTAATATTTCTTAAATATTTTAATATTTCTTCAATACATAAAGTATCTCATAAAGAAAAAAAAGAACAATTGATAATTAATTGTTTTATACCAAGATCCAAATGATGGATTCAGAACTCTTATTATTGATCTCTAGGTCTTCAAGACTTAACAAAAGAAGTTCCTAAAATAACTTAATGTCATTTGTTGTACTCTTACTGGAGGGAGATGGACATTGTAATTATCACGTGTTCTTCACCTCTTGATGTTGGTGAATGTTTCTTTTACTGTTTAGAATGGAATTATCATGGAAACACAGGCAAGATCTGAAGGATTTATGTATGAACCATAATGAACTTAGTCCTCAGTTCAGGAATGATGTTTGGTAAAATCATAGAACAGGTATTTACAGAAAGTCCTATGACCACTGGGGCCAGATTCCCTAAGAACCTCATTAGGGACAAAACCAGTAATCTTCCCAACTACTTTTCTGACCCCTTTGGACCAAACAGCCCTTGCAAAGAGTATTATTTAATTTCTAAAACAGGAGTTATAAGTTATATTATCCAGATGGAGGAAATTTTCAAATAAAATTCCCTGGTACCTCAAGTTTCATCACTTCGCTGGTATAAGTTTATATCTAATAGTTTAGAAATACAGTTAATAAATATTTTCCTTTTTTCTTAGCTGAAAAATTTGAGGTATGGTTTTCCTTTTTGTTACGCTATACTACCTATTACACAAACTTCTTTGTGTGTTAGTTAGGATGCTAAGGACACGTTGCAGAGCTGCGGGGTTTGGGATTTTTTCCATATACTAGGAATGACTATTTAAATGCTCAAAAGGAAAAGAGAAAAATAGAAGGGGGAAGACAAAAAGGAAGTATGAAATTACTAGGATAGCGAGGTTAGTGGACAGATTGACAGTGAAGGAATAAAAAAGATTCAGTGGGGACCTGAAAAGACAGGGTGATAATATGCATATACCAATAATAACTATTTATGTAAAATACTCTATATGAATTATTGTTTATAACACAGCACACATGAATGAAACACAATGTAAATAAAAGACTGCATAAAATGCAAGATACATGAAAGAAAGACAATGTATCTTAATGATTCTATGCAAATCAATGAATATAGTTACAAAAAAAATACTAGTGAATAGAATCCAAAAGCACATCAAAACAATAATTCATCATGACAATAAAAGGTATGCAAGGATAGTCCAACATAAGGAAAACATTCGACAAAATTCATCACATTAACAAAGCAAATAACAAGAGCCATATGATCTTAGCAATTGATGCCAAAAAGGCATTTGACAAAATTCAACATCCTTTCCTGATTAAGATATTTAGCAAAACTGGGATAGAAGGGAATTTTCTCAACATAGTGAAAAGTATACATGCAAAACCAAGAGCCAATATCATTCTCAATGGAGAAAGACTAAAAGCATTTTCTTTGCAAACAGGGACCAGACAAGGATGCCCACTGTCACCACTTCTATTCAATATTGTATTGGAAGTACTTGCTAGGGCAATATAAGAGCTCAGCAAAAAGATGGCTACACTGTCATTATATGCGGATGAAGTCATAGTGTACACAGAAAATCCCAAGAATTCAACAAAAAACTGTTAGAGATAGTAGACCAATTTAGTATAGTGGTAAATTACAAGATCAATATCCAAAAATCAGTAAGATTATAGAGGACTACAACAACGAGAACACAGAGAAGGAAACCAAGATAGTATCACTTACAATGTTGTTGTTGATTGCCATCCTATAGAGCACAACTCATAGCGACCCTATGAACAAAATACCTGAAACCTTTATATAACTATTGTTGTTAATCAAAGTTCATAGAGTTTCCAGTGCCATATTGTTTAGGAAGTGGATGCCACTCCTGCTTCCAATAGCTAACCACAAATTGAGATATTTAGGAGTGAATGTAACTAGAGATACAAAAGACCTATACAAAGAAAATTACAGAACATTTTTGTGAGACACAATAAAGGACCTAAATAAATAGAAAGATGTTCTCTGTTAATGTATAGCAACTCAATCTTGTTAAAATGACAGTCCTATCAAAAGCAATCTACATGTTTGATGCAATCCCAATATGTTGTTGTTGTTGTTGTT